CAAATCGAGAATTGCGCTGTGATTCTGATAGATGTGATGAGCATGGTGCATGGATATCCCGGTTTCTGAAGTCCAGTCATGAGGGACCGCTTGAGATATTTGGCCCCCTCGTTGCAGTCCTTCTGTGAAGAGCCACTTCTTTGGTGAATTGCGGCCCTCTCCGTCCTTGGGGGGATATCGTCGATGACCCAAAAATGCTTTTCCAAGTGCATTCCTAACAATCCTTTACACGGAGGTCCCAGCACTGTCAGCCATTGGGTCGTGTCTGGCACAGACTTGGATTTTGGGTCCAGTTCCCGGAAAATGAAGACGCCTTCTTCTTTTCCCGTGAACCAGTTGAAGCTCTCCAATTTGTCCCAGTCAGGGTCGTTGCGATAAGATGATGCCGTGTTCTCACTTCTCACGATACGGCATTGGAAACGAAGTTAGAATAGCCAGCGTTGGATAATGAAATTGGCATCAATGCTTCACCAATAAGTATATAATATTGGAATGTCCATCGATTTGAGAGTTTCGAGTATTGACGGCTCCTGGCCCGGGGAAGGAGACTGCTATCGTCTGCGAGGAATCTGATTAGCACGACCACCTTTGTTAATGTTTCTTCGTGAGAACTCCGATGCTCCGAACGAACAGATAGTGATGGAATTATCTTACCTGTACTGTGACTGATGGCATTCTGTTCCTGAGATCCGGGAAGGGCAACTCCGTTTGCCTAAGGACATTTCACGCACGTATTTCGGAGAACGTCCATATGAGCCCGACTGAGCAATGGTGCCGAGCATTCAAAGAAGAGAGTAAGGTCTCTTCACTCTGTTGTTGGACTTTATCCATATCAAGTATGCAAAGGCAGTCGAAAGAGAAAGATAGATATGCTGAGAGAAAGTCGACCGACTTGGAGAGAATTGAGGCCGGCTTTATAGACGCCATGGTCTCGGCTAAGGAGAAGCTGAGAAGGAAGATTGTGAAGATGAAGAGACCTTAGTATCATGATTAAGTGAATACAGCATCATTTCCAAGTCTTGAATAGCAGTACGTATCACTGGGAAGAAATTGAAATCGTTAATACCAATTGCTATAGGGATTCACTGTGGAGGTACCAATCTAGTGAGGAGTGAAGGCATGGAGATAAGGAATCATAGGAGAAAGAGAGAGCTGGATTACAGGAGGGAGCAGTACAAGTGAGATGATGAGTGAGTTTTTAACCCGTCCTTTAGACGTAAGAAATATTACTTTTATTTTATATGCCTTTGAGCCTGATTATTGGATGCATACAGAACTGCAATGGGTATTTTGCACTGTGGCGCATGCGGATAATGTGTAACAATTGGATTAGGGCGTCTGCGGTCCTCTGTTTCCTAATTAGGAACCCTAATTAGGGAGTTATGAAGCTATTCAGAGCAGCATGTAAAATATTTCTCAACAAGCTGCTCGCATTGACCCAGATAACCCAATATCAATCAGCGTCTTATATTCGCAGTATCGGGATGTCTTCTGAGGGTCCACTTTCGATTCCTCGAGAGTAACAGGCTTTTGATCACTATATCGTACCCCGAAGTGGTTTCTGAGGAATTCGCAAGCTCAGTCATACCAGGCTTTTGCTACAAAGTTTGCCCCCGCCTCATGTGAGGAGTATGTAGTCAGCCATCACTCAAGAATAAATAGTTGTCCAGTGTTCAGCATCTAGTCATCTGGAAATCAGCAGCCTATTTGGCACGTTCTGTTCTCGATGCCTGGTCTCATTGATCAGGGATTGGAACATTCTCCCACCACAACAGTAGACATAAGTACTGCTACATTCCTCATATTCTTCGTTGCAGCGATTACCAGCAAAACGCTGACTATAATCCCTAGCTCCACCTCAATGGTACTACGTATCTGATGCATTGATTCTACTATTTGCTTTATAGCATTGAACTCTATTTTAGCTAGTTGCCCCCAAGTTCTCGTGGTATATGGCATCGAAGACATGGCCGAACTTTATGCTGATTCTGACTTCTCGCAGTTGTTTTCTGAAGATATCTAGCCATATACGATTAACAGGCCCTATAACAGTTACTTCGTAGGAAGGGCTACCGAGAGACATCTTTGAAATAATGCTCTGTTTCCTAGAATGCTCCAGGATAGAAGGACATTGGCAGTAATTAAAGGTCCATCTAGTCTATGAGATGTTGTTCCCGCTGTGAATGTATCAGCATGGCTTAATCTAGTCTTTGCCCTAGAGGTGGATGGTGCTTCTCTTCTCCCTGCACTCGCGCACACAAATAAATTTCTCCTTAACACAGTCCCCTCAGCTTCCATCAACACTCTCTATTTCATCCTTTACTATTACTCCTCCGGCCTCGAGTTCTTCATCCAACCTGGCTTCTTCATCAAGATTCGCTTCTTTCATAAAGCTTCTTATTGTCTTGATCGTTTCTCCGAGTCCTGGTCCCTTATAATACAATCTTCTCAGCACTTTCAAAATGAGCTAGATTGGACTGGCTTACCCTCCCCGCCTCGATACGAACATACGAGACGATCTCTTTCATCAATACAAGATGTGTTCGTTTTTGGAGTACTCTAGGGAGTTCGAAAAAGGACAGTTTCTATTCTGTATTATCAGGGTTTTCTGCCGTTGCTGATCTTGATTTTTGTCCAGATGCAGACATCCAGCACGCGTAGAGCGTCTGGTCGCTTCATACCGCTCCAGTTCATTTCATTTTCCCCTGCCTTGTCTTCTACGTTTTCCAGTTCTCTTATATATAAGATGATTTCTCCAAGTTGGCCATCTCTCCTAGAGGGTTTGGT